TAAAAATGTAAGGAGTAGAAGTAAAAAGTCACCATAAAAAATAAGTAGTAAAGTAAAAATATCAGAAAAATCTACTTGAGTACAGTAACGAAGTATTTGTACTTCGTTACTTCCCATCTCTGCTTAGCTGGACTTAGATGGGGCTACAGAGCATAGAAGAGCAGTGCTATGAAGATATACCTGACCCCCTACTTGAGTTAACATGCAGTGGGGAACAATCAAATGATTCTTTTTAGATATGGTGTATGCAGGGCTTGACGTTAACACCTACCAACGTGCCAAATGCGTGTGATTTTTAGCTGTGTCAGGTAGCGCAACCACTTCTACTACCTACTTTGGCGGGTTGGATTATATTAAGTTTTTGAATTGTAGCTTTCTCAAATGTTATCTGACATTATAAGCAAACCTAAATATGACTCTGGGACACTAGATTTTCCATGAGCGCTGCTTGTGCAGAGTATTTGTTCCTTGGCCATTTAAGACAGATGTCACTTTAGAAAGGCAGTTCCTGTGAAGAACAAAGTTCTACACCGGGAATTGTAAAGCCGTTGTAAAGTTCTTATGGCATATTAAGACCCAAACTCTAAACAGAGGACAAAGAAACATGATGATAGAACAAAGAAAGGGAAGACAGTCTCCCACTTCAACCGTGGCTAAACCGAGGAAGCAGCAGTTTCAGTAAAGACTCCTGTCCATGTGTCATCCATTTCAATTGAATTGTATTAACTTTGACAACTTTTATTGAGTCTAGTACTTAATAAAATCCTGTGTAACCAGAAGAGGCAGAAACATTGGCAAGACTGTCTCTGTTCTCCCCTTTAAGGACTAATGAATGCTGCTTGAGTAAGGAATACTAATCTCAATTTTTTGTTAATATAAAACTTAGATTTCTGGCAGATAAGATTACCCACCAAAGTGGCTAGTACGGTAAGTTTGGCTGTGTTACCAGTGATGGTTGAAATTCACCCATAGCGGGCTGGCGTGTGTCGATGTCATGTCATGTTCAAAAAATTATATTCCTTAAATAAGGATTGTTGATTTCAGTTGCATTAATATGCTGTCATAGCTTATGAAATAAGGCACCTATTATTTTCAGCCGTTTCATGCATAAGCTGCTGAATCAGTTCATCTAACTCTGTGTCATGACGTTTCTCGAGACTTATGACTTCCTGTGGATTTTTTGCCTTTTTAATCTCCTCTGTTTGTTTTGACATCAAGTCATTTATTTTTTTGCGATTGTCTCTCCTTTTGACCAATGCAAGTATTTCCATTCTGTGTTTGTGTTCATTGATCTGTATCATTGCCTTTAGAAAGTTATATTGTTCATCTTTTTCCTTTAGCTCTTGTTGCTGAGCTGCAAATTCTTGAAAATATTTCTGTTTAAAGTCATTGAGCTCTTCAGCTTTTTGTCGGGCTTCGTTTTCATAGTTTTCAAGAATTTTTTCTAGCTCGTTCCTGTATACACTATCTATTTTCTCTAAATACATTTCCTCTTTTTTTTCAAGTCTATAACTCTCCTCTTCTTGTCTTTTAAAATCTCCAATTGCAATTTCATAAACATTTAGCAGTCTTTCTTCATTCTCTTGCATCTTCTTCTCCTTCTGTTCCCATTTCTTATGTAAATCTTTTTTCTCTTTCTCCCATTTTGCTAGAGTTTTTCTCTGGGCTTCTGATTGGTCTTGGTAAGGAATGTTTTCATAAACATTTTCTGTTTCGTCAAATCTTGGTAGTGAACAACTGTACAGATTGCAGTCAATATCTCCCTTTAAAGCCTCTCTCTCACGGTTCCATCTGGCTTCTTCCGCTTTTCTCTGCACTTGTTCTTTCAACCTTTCATCTTGAGCATGCTGAAGTTCTTTCCTTATCTTCCTGATATTGTTGTTGCTTTGCTTCATTGCTTGTTTAGCTCTTTCTTTTTCATCCTCCAGTCTTCTTTTAATTTCGTCTTTCTCCTTCTGGTGACTTTCTTCTAGTTCCTTCTTTTGTCTCTGTAGTTCTTCTTCTTTCTCCTTGAGGAGTCTGGTTTTTTGTTCCTGAATTGCTGTGTCAGCCTCTAGTAGCATCTCATTGGTAAAACATCCATTTCTAGCAACGATTTTGTCAATCTTTTTAATCAGTTCCTCTACCTGTCTGTGGTTTTTGGGGTCATTGTTGTCAAATACATGGCATCGTCCCCCGCAGTCTGCAATAAGTTTTTTAAAGTAGTCATCACAGTCATTTTCTATATAATCTTCTATGGACTGGTTATCTTTAAGGGAATCTCCTCTGGTAAAAAGTATGATGGTGAACTTTACAGAATTTTCCCCAAAACCTTTTTTAATAAGGTCTAATGTCTCCCTCTCCTCTCTTGTGAGCCTTGCTCCAATTTGCAACACCACTAAAAAAACATGTGGGCCTGGTGCCAGAAGGGTAATACATTCCAATAATTCTTTATTTACTTCTTCGTTGCTTAAGCTGCTGTCAAATAAACCAGGAGTGTCCACCACAAGAACAGGACGACCATCCACTTCACCCTTTGATTTCTTGCAGCGCTTTGTGACTGACTTCTGGCTTACTTTGGCTTCAAACTCTGGTTTACCCAAAATTGTGTTTCCTGAAGAGCTCTTCCCACATCCAGTTCTCCCAATAAGAACAATCCGGAGGCACTCATATGTCCAATGGCTTTTATCTGTAACCGAGAAAAATCAGAGGCCAGATCAGAACTTATTTAAGTACGTTTCAGTAGAACTATATATATATATATATATATATATATATATATATATATATATATATATATATATATATATATATATGGTTGATTTAAGAAGTCTCCTTCATAATGCATTCGTAGTTCTGTGTCAAGCTATCCTTCTCAGTGTCGTATTTGGTGTAATTTTTTCAGATGACAAAACACATCCCTTCATATTTGGCAAAGTTGTTTGAAGATACCTACCACTGGCCTGACTCTGTGGTGATGAAATGGAAGGTCGGTGGTGCTGTCCAGTAACATTTTTTTCTTGTTGAAGTAGTTTCTCTAAGTAAGCATCTAAGAAAATTCCTGATGTGTAGCACCTTTGGTCCTTTCTTACTACAAAATTTATTACATTAGAGAACTGCTCTCTGTTGCTGCTTTTGAGAACACAGTATCTTTTCTCGAATCTCTTAATAAGCTCCTTGATATTTTTATCTTTTTTGAGACACTTAACTACAGCTGGATGTTCAGGATCTGACTCCGTGGTGAACAGGATCATGGTGAAGTCATTGACTCTAGAGCTGAATGTGTCCTGGATGGTCTGTAACTCTCCCTTGTCTTCATCAGTGAGGTGACCCACAGGTAGGACCAGGATGAAGGCGTGGACACCCTCAGGTTCACAGAGAGAGATACACCTGAATGATTCCTTTGTCACTTCCTGCTGAGGTTTTCCATACAAGGCAGGCAGCTCCACCACAGAAACCCAATGTCCACACACCTCTCCCTGGTTTCTAACACACTCTGATGAGTTGGAAGCTGAATGAAGATCTGTCTGAGCTAGAATGGCCTTGGCTGCTGAGGTCTTCCCTGCTCCTCTCCTACCACACAAAACCAGGTTTAAGGATGGCAGAGACTGGTGACATTTTGATGCTCCGCTATCATCTTTAATGCTAAGAAAGGCACTACTATTTCTTTTCACAACATCTGCAATCTTCTCCATTAATCTCTGGTGATTATTTTCAGACAAGCTGTACTTTCTACCTTCACATTCACTGATTAGTGTATTAAGAGTAAAATTGGTTTCATTTTCTTCTTCTGTTATGATGATCATTGAGTGTTTAATGGGATCTTCACCAAACAAGCTCAGGGTGGCCATTAGAGTCTTTTTGTCCTTCTCCGTAAAGTTTGAAGGATTCACTAAGAGAAGCAGAACATTTGGTCCAGGAGGACAAAGATTGACACAGGTCTTCAGCTCCTCTTTATGAACTTTTCCCATCGGATTTTCTGGAGGTGTCACAACAGTTAAAATCTGTCCTTTCCATAATCCCTGCTCTGCTGATTTCGCTTGAAGAAACATGGATGGAATGTCTGAACTAGTTTTCTTCTGGAAGATAATGCTGCAGAGATGTTTCTTGCTTGAAGGAGTTGCTCCAAATAGCATAATTCTGATACCTCGGCCTGTGAAGCAACAAAGACAGAAACATAATGAACAAAAATGTATCTGAAGTTTTTAACACAATAAAACAGTATATTAAAAAAAAAAAATAAACTAATGTAATTGATCTGGTCACTTCAATTTTGTCATAATTTAATGTTGTCAATTGAGACAACTCCTGGGGGGAATGGTGGTGGGGACTGGTGGCTAAAGCATTGCGCTTGGTTGTCAGAAGTTCTGAGTAAACGTTCCACATTCTCCCACAGACTGCTTCTCTGGTTCCCTGAGCAAGACCTCTAACCCCAAACTGCTCCCCGAGTGCCACACAATGGCAGCCCATTGCTTCCCAAGGGGATGGGTTAAATACAGAATTTATTTTGTTGCTCTGTACTTGTGACAGTGTAATAACAATAAAAGTAAAAAAAAAAATAAAAAAAAGACTGAGAAAGGATCATTAATGCTCTCTACTTCCTAATATAACATCTGCTTGCATCTGATCTTCATACATTGCAGCGGATTACTTAGAATGAACATTACAAACACTCCTGGTTATTACCAGGTATTCATCCCGATAAGCTCCTTTTAAACCAAATTATGCAGATTACAAAGTAAGAGTTGTTGTTGCAGGGGAATAGAGGATTAATTTAAAAGTCTGGTAATACTTTGATCCAGTCAGGATTAGTAATACTGTCATGACAGAAAGTGATTAAAAACACTCTAGATACCTTTAAAACTAAAACTGAACTCTATAGTATAAGAACTCACTTTAAGAACTCATCATAAACAATATCTGAAACAAAACTACAAAAATCTATATTATGCAGTTAAAATAATCTTAATCACAACGGAGGCACAAATTGGATGAGGCTGTGCATGAATAAGGTTTCATGAAGAAACTATATTAGTGCAAAGGAATCCAGTTTGTGTGGTCTGTTTGGTTTCTGTCTCTCCCTCCACCACCAGGTGGCACCCTGTCATTGTTGGTCCTCCCTGTACATTCTTTGGATCATTATCTGGAGGAGTAGTTAAGCAGTGGAGTGTCACTACCTTGATGCCAGAGTGTTTGCCAGTTTTGGGTATTGTAGCCATGCTTAGATTAGCAGAGTCTAACCTGAGTCTTTGTTTCAATGAGTCAAACTGAGTCTTTGTCTCTCTGAGTCTAACCTTGTTTTCTGTCTTTGCCTTTGGCAGGACGTCTTCCTGCATACTGTTTGGCCTTCTTTCCCTGGAAGGACCAAGTTCACACTGAGCAGGGGAGAAACCTCCACATGTGCTGTTGGATTGTTTACTGAGTTCACACTGAGCAGGGGAGAAACCTCCGCATGTGCCATTAAAGTCCCTCACGGAAATCCAAGTGACAGTCTGCTCCAGTGCTCCTCCGGGTCCAAAGAATGTCCACCTGTCCACTCTTCTGCATGTTGCCTCTTCTCTGATCAAACCACACAGACTGGATGCTTGTGAGAGAAGAACCCCCCCCCCCAAACATGAGTCCCTCACTAGCATTTTCACTACTGCATTCAAGATTCCCACGGTACCTGGACTAACCACTGTGAACTTCCCTCCTCCCTTCCAGTTCCGGTTCACCAGCCCTCTGAGTACAGTGAGTTCCAGATCCAACCCCCTCTACCCTTACCTAAATAAACCTGCTTAACATTTTGCCTTGGTCTCTGAGTGGTTCTCTGCATTTTTGGGTCAGACTTCTAAACACATCATGACAAAATGTTTCAAAGAAAAAATATATAACTTGTACATTTACATCCCAATTTTTTATTTAAGTGGGACAGTGGAAAATTTGGAAATGTGTAACTCGTTTACAATTGAGAAAAAGAATAGAAATGGAGCCTTGGCGGAAGTTCAACTGAAGAAACTATTTGCTCTTCTACATCCACCTGCAACAAAGTGAATTAGCTTTGAACCACACCTCCACCAAAGCCAATCAGCATCCAAGTTTATCTTTAAAGGCCTCTGATCCGCACTGGTCTGCCACTAGTGTGCAGGTGGCGGATGCGCTGTTACTTCATTCAGATGACCCCATTTTAACCCACCTCCAGCTCCTTCTCCACCATTGCAGCTAAAGCTTCATCAGGGTTTAATTGCTCCCTGACTCTTTCTGCATTCCACGTCTCATTTCAACCGGTCCGGCAGAAGACCTCCATGTTGAGCCTGGTTCTGCCAGAGGTTTTGTTCCCAACGCTTTATGCTTGCTCATCATGGACAGGTTCTCTCAATCTGTGTTATCAAGCTGGGCTTCCATCTTCCAGGTCCATGAGTGAAGCTCTAGTATCAGCTCACGCAGTCCACTGGATCTCCCCATAAAGCTCAGCATACAGTCTTGCTTACCAGCAGTCTACAGACTGACCAACTTCATTCATCCACTCTACTACCATTTTCACACCTGGGGAGGAAACAGCCCAATTATTTGCTACTGTTCATGCATATCAAAATTAAGCTCTGTTTCCTGCCGAGGTTTGAGTGCCAAAGAAGAGTTATTGTATCAATAAATTTCTTTTAAATTGTCTTTTCTCTTCGTGTTAGTTTTTCAGATTGAACTGCTTATCTGGTAACCTGCAGGAATTAGATTCAGCACCTGTATTTGACGCCCTGTTGGTGTTTTGGAGAGAGATGTAGGGGCTCACTCCCTCACTCCTCGCTGAAGAAGACACTTAAACTCAAAGAAAATCTGTGCATTCACATGTTTTTTTGTTAGTTTTTTTACCAAAGACTCATTGGACTTACACTAGTAATTATTTTGGAAGAAAGTCACTAGAAGGATTTGAAAAGCATTAGATATTAAGTGCTGTAAATGTTATTCAGGTGATAAAAGCTGACATAGTAACTGGCGTGATTATTCATTTCATTCACCTGCCTGGCTCTGTCCAGTTCTCATTACCATTCATTTCATTGGATCCATCTGCTTCAGACTCTATTGAAGCAGCCTTCAACCAGCCTTTGCTTAGAGTTCTCTAGCATACCTTAGTGTTTTTGGTTTTCTGATTCTGGACCATTCTTTCTCTAAGTCATATGTTTATATTACTATTTTTTATGTATTTATTACTGTTTTCAAGGCTGGACTTTAAAAATGAAATTGTCTAGAGCTGTTTTTAAATGGAATTTCTTTCTGTTTACAATCATGTATACAAAATGACAAAATAAATATGTCTAAGTCTTTACGCCTAGCCTTAAAAGTAGACAGGGTGTCTGCCTCACGGACTAAAACTGTTAGTTGGTTCTACAGGAGATGAGCCTGATAACTAAAATATCTGCCTCCCATCTATTTTTAGAATCAGCATAACAGTGAAAATTTATCCAATGCTGTCTAATAACTCTACTGATTGGGAGCATATATATAGTAAAGACAATTGGTTCTAGCACTGATCCCTGTGGTACTCCACAGGTAACTTTTGAGCATGAGGAAGATTTTTTCATTGACGTGAACAAACTGAAATCAATGAGATAAATAAGATTTAAATCAGTCTAGTGCTGTTCCTTGAATCCCAAAGAATATTAAAGTCTTTCTGAAAGAATATAAAGGTCAACTGTTTGAAACAGTTGATTATACTATGTCAACTGTATCAAATGCAGCACTGGGATTCAACAGGACAAGTACAGATGCAAGTCCATTATCTGAGGCCATGAGAATATCATTAGCAACTTTTACCAGAGCTGTTTCAGTGCTATAAAGCCAGACTGAAAGTCTTCAAAAAGTGAATTATGGTGTAAGTGATTGCACACTTGTTTGTCAACTATTTTCAAAATAATTTTAGATAAGAAAGGAAGATTAGATATAGGATTATAATTGATCAAGTCATCTGGATCAAGAGACAGTTTCTTAAGTAAAGGTTAAATTACAGCAACCTTAAAAGCCTTTGGTGCATATCCCTGTAACAGAGATAGATTAACTACATCTAAAATGGAGGACGCGAAGGAAGATTAAATATAAGTCCATAAATGTCCAAGTCATCTGGATCAAGAGACGGTTTCTTAAGTAAATAACAGCTACCTTACATGTACCTTACATGCAGCACATGTCCTTATAACAGGGATTAATCACATATAAAATGAAGGAGGAAATCAGAGGGAATACTTCTCTACCAACAAATAACTTGGTTGGAACTGGATCTAACATACAAGTTGAAGGCTTAGATGAAGACAATAGTTTTGCTAACTCTGAAAGTTCAACTGGATGAATGCAGTCTAAACCCGGTTCAGATTCTCTGACTACCTCAGATGCTGCCCAACCCTCCAGAGATAAACCAACCATAGTTAGAGGAGTGCTAATACTCTTATCTTTAATAAGATCAACCTTATTTAAAAATAATTCCATAAAATCAGTAATGCTTAGAGCAGGTGGGATGGATGGTTAAACAGACCTATGGCTCTATGTGTGTTTGGCAACTGTATTAAAAACATATCTAGGATCATTCTTATTCTCCCCTATTAATGAGAAATATGCTGCTCTTGCTTTACAAAATGTCATCTTATACAGCAGTCCGCTGTATAAGAGGACAAAACATGAAATCAGAGAGGAACTCTGAAAACTCATCTAAAAATTCAGAGTAAGGACCTGGTGGATGATACAAAGTAAAAAAAATAAGAGGTTTTCTTGCTTTGCAATTTGGATGAGGGGAACTAAGGATTAAATGTTCAAAAGTGTTGTAATTATTAACTGAGTAGTCAGTAAATCAGAGTGAAAGACTGTCCTCCTCCTCACCCAGAATTTCTGGATATGAGACAATTTAAATAACTACAAGGAGTTGCCTCATTTATGCCCACATAATCCTCTTTCTGCAGCCAAGTTTCTATAAGCCAACATAAATCAATGTCATTATCACAAATCAAATCATTAACTAGCAAACCTTTTGAGGAAAGAGATTGTATGTTAAATAAACCACATTTAATCATTTTAACTTTTCCCCCCAATTGGAGTTATTTAAATTTTAATTAGATTATCATGATTTACTCCTTTGGGAATCTTTTCTAATATATTAGATTTTGTTTGTGGGCTAGACACTGTCTGGATGGAGTAAAGAGTGGGTAACAGTAGAGAAGCTGCAGAGATGTGTGTTAAACTACAACTCTGCTTCCTGGTCTGCACCCTGGGTGGTCAGGGTTTTGGAGGGCTAATAAATGAGGCCAGATTCCTAGAAAGAAGAGCTGCACCATCCAAGGTGGGATGGATGCCGTCTCTCCGAATCAGACCAGGATTTCCCCAAAACGGTTGGCAATTATCAATGTAGCCCACGTTGCTTTCAGGACACCACCTAGAGAACTAGCGGTTGAATGACGACATGCGGCTAAACATGTCATCACTGGTCAGATCAGGGAGGGGACCAGAGAAAATTACGGAGTCCGACATTGTTTTGGCAAACTTACACACCGAAGCAACACTAATTTTAGTGACCTCCGATCGGCGTAACCGCGTGTCATTACCGCCAGCGTTAATAATAATCTTACTGTATTTAATCTTATCCTTAGCCAGCAGTTTTGAGGTAGGATTTGATGTCGCCCGTTCTGGCCCCCGGCAAATATTTGACTATGGTCCCTTATTTACTTTCTGATCTAGAGTCCCACAATCAGATCTGTTTTGACACCGGCATGGGCCTCATCATCTGGAAACTCTTACCTTACTTAATTTGCTTGGGTCTGCTCATCAAACAGTTCAGCTGTCTTCAAGGCATTCTCTGGGTACAGACTGTACACTAAACCAGGTTAGTGACTCACGCATTCATATGATCCTCTGTCAGGTTATCGTGGTCACTAACCTGTGTTTCCTCTCTTCAGAGTTTCTTTCCTCAGATGCCCTAGCCTCTACTACTGCAGATTTGCTGCCTGTTCATTGAAATAAACAGTTTTTGAATAATACCATTGTCCGTCTCACCTCGAATACTGGGTCCTCTGTTCTGAACCTTGATAAAAGACTATGTCCTGGGTTTTTAAAAGTAATGAAAAATTTTCTTCATAGCTAATCAACAGCTTTAATAAACATGATCATTAAATCAAATACCACAGACTCTGAAATCTCCTCGGTTCCACTGGAACAGGGTCTGTTAAATAGCTTTTCCCCAGCCACTTGTTTTCACAGGGCACAGAAGAGCCACTGCTCAGACAGCAGAACTCATGGGTGTTAAACACAGGGCTACCAGTTTAGAAAACATATTTTCTTTCCAGGCTGTCGAGCTTTAAAGTCAATGATTTTTTTTTGTGTTATCAAACCAACTTCTTTTTAATGTTCTAGGCTTATTATCATTATTAGCAATAATGATCTTAAAGCCGTAGTAGGATTTTAAGAAAACCATTGACTTACCCTGCAAATCTGTTCCTTGCTTTTTGCTCCCTGCTGTTCTACAGCCCTTGCTCTTTAAAATATGACCAATTTTGCTAAGCAACTGTTCACGATCAGTTTCGTTCAGGATGAGAGAGTTTTCTTGGCATCTTCTGGTCAGTTCCTGTAAGGCTTGATTTAAACTTGGATTCTTCTGATTAGATGTTGATATCAGAACCAGTACACAATCAAATGACTGATCACCAAAGAGTTCAAGAACTTTGTAGAATCTCTTCTTCCGTTCCTCTGTGAAGTTTTCTGGCTGCACAATCAGCAGGAACAGATGAGGAGCAAAAATACAACATCTCAAGCAATATTCTACTAGTCCTTTCAGCTTTTCTTCGTGTGTCCTCGGATTAAGTAGATCTGGTGTGTTAATGACAACCAGCTTCTTGTCCTGAGTTGTTTTTTCAACTCTTGTTGAGGAGTTTGGCTCTTCCCTGGACTTGAATTTAGGCTTTCCCAGGATTAAGTTTCCAACGAGACATTTTTCTGACCAGTTATCTCCCAAGAGAACAAGTCTCACTTCAGACACTGCAAGATTAAATATAAGAAGCTTTGTTGAGGAGGTTAAGCAATGGTAAATGTAGTTACCAAACTTTAACTATTGGTTATGGTGAGTTTAGAATAAATAAATCTTTGAATAACTCTTAATGCATTGTGGATATTTTGGGACTCCCACATTGCTTAAATCAAAAACAAATTTCTTTATATCTTTATAATATCTGATAATCAGTTAAATAT